CAGAGATAGCGTCACACAGATAGCGTCACATAGATAGCATCGCAGAGATAGCATCACATAGATAGCATCACAGAGATAGCGTCACAGAGATAGCGTCGCAGAGGTAGCGTCACAGAGATAGCGTCACAGAGATAGCGTCACAGAGATAGCGTCACAGAGATAGCATCGCAGAGATAGCGTCGCAGAGATAGCGTCGCAGAGATAGCATCACATAGATAGCATCACAGAGATAGCGTCACAGAGATAGCGTCGCAGAGATAGCGTCGCAGAGATAGCGTCGCAGAGATAGCGTCACAGAGATAGCGTCACAGAGATAGCGTCACAGAGATAGCGTCACACAGATAGCGTCACACAGATAGCATCACAGAGATAGCGTCACAGAGATAGCGTCACAGAGATAGCGTCACAGAGATAGCGTCACACAGATAGCGTCACAGAGATAGCGTCACAGAGATAGCGTCACAGAGATAGCGTCACATAGATAGCGTCGCAGAGATAGCATCGCAGAGATAGCGTCACAGAGATAGCATCGCAGAGATAGCGTCACAGAGATAGCGTCACATAGATAGCGTCGCAGAGATAGCGTCACAGAGATAGCGTCACAGAGATAGCATCGCAGAGATAGCATCGCAGAGATAGCGTCACAGAGGTAGCGTCACAGAGATAGCGTCACAGAGATAGCATCACAGAGATAGCGTCACAGAGATAGCATCACAGAGATAGCGTCAAAGAGATAGCATCGCAGAGATAGCGTCACAGAGATAGCGTCACAGAGATAGCATCACAGAGATAGCGTCACAGAGATAGCATCGCAGAGATAGCGTCACATAGATAGCATCGCAGAGATAGCGTCGCAGAGATAGCGTCACAGAGATAGCGTCGCAGAGATAGCATCACAGAGATAGCGTCACAGAGATAGCATCGCAGAGATAGCGTCACATAGATAGCATCGCAGAGATAGCGTCGCAGAGATAGCGTCACACAGATAGCGTCACAGAGATAGCATCACAGAGATAGCGTCACAGAGATAGCATCACAGAGATAGCGTCACAGAGATAGCATCGCAGAGATAGCGTCACAGAGATAGCATCGCAGAGATAGCGTCACAGAGATAGCGTCACAGAGATAGCGTCACAGAGATAGCGTCACAGAGATAGCATCACAGAGATAGCATCACAGAGATAGCGTCACATAGATAGCATCACAGAGATAGCATCACAGAGATAGCGTCGCAGAGATAGCGTCACACAGATAGCGTCACAGAGATAGCATCACAGAGATAGCGTCGCAGAGATAGCGTCACACAGATAGCGTCACAGAGATAGCATCACAGAGATAGCGTCACAGAGATAGCATCGCAGAGATAGCGTCACATAGATAGCGTCACAGAGATAGCGTCACAGAGATAGCATCACAGAGATAGCGTCACAGAGATAGCATCACAGAGATAGCGTCACAGAGATAGCATCACAGAGATAGCGTCACAGAGATAGCGTCACAGAGATAGCGTCACACAGATAGCGTCACAGAGATAGCATCACAGAGATAGCGTCACACAGATAGCATCACACAGATAGCATCACAGAGATAGCGTCACAGAGATAGCATCACACAGATAGCATCACAGAGATAGCATCGCAGAGATAGCGTCACAGAGATAGCGTCACACAGATAGCATCACAGAGATAGCGTAGATAAAGCGTAGATAGCGTCACACAGATAGCATCACACAGATAGCATCACAGAGATAGCGTCACATAGATAGCGTCACACAGATAGCGTCGCAGAGATAGCATCACAGAGATAGCGTCACATAGATAGCATCACATAGATAGCGTCACACAGATAGCGTCACAGTCACATAGATAGCGTCACATAGATAGCGTCACAGAGATAGCGTCACAGAGATAGCGTAGATAAAGCGTAGATAGCGTCGCACAGATAGCGTCGCACAGATAGCGTCGCACAGATAGCGTAGATAAAGCGTAGATAGCGTCGCACAGATAGCGTAGATAAAGCGTAGATAGCGTCGCACAGATAGCGTCGCACAGATAGCG